ACACCCCTCGGAGGGGGCCGGCGCTGGAGCCAGGCTATTGTTGTGGCTGAGGCTCTTCCCGAAAACGGAAAGAGCCTGAATCTCTGCGGGGCTCCCAGGAGGCCCGTCCAGCCAGCGCTCCTCTCCCGAGCCCTCCCCTCTCTGCAGCCCGTCTCTCGCAGAGCCCTCCCAAGCTTACCCTAGGCAACCCCGCTGGAGCCTCTTGCCCTCCCTGAGACCCTGACCCCCCATCCCTCTGTCTTCTTGGCCCGGGGCTCTCGTGGCCCCACCGTCAGCGCCCAGTCCCAGATCCCGGCCAGGCCCCACTGAGTTTCCTTGCTCTGTGGAACTTCCCACCCTAGCAGAACAAATCACACACTCCCATCCTCCCCGTGTCGTCTGCTTTGTTCATCTTTCTGCCGCAGTCTTCTCCACTGTCTCTGGTCCTTCACGCTGCTGCCACACCCCCAGGCTGAGCTCCTGAGCCCCAGCCACCTCCTACCCATCTGCTGGCCCCTCCCGCAGCACAGGTGTTCCAAATGATGTATCACAAGCAGCTGAGGGCTGGGAAAAACATTTAGCACAGAGGGGTCTGGAAGGTATTGGTGGAAGGAGAAAGCTGAAGAGTCAGATTCATCCAGCATTTCCAGAGCACCCTGAGATGCGGATGCTTTCTCAGGTCCCATGTCTTGGTATCCTCCGGCCACCCCTGAGCAAGGTCTCCTCACTCCCATTTGACATGGAAGGACACTCAGAGAGGTAGCCTTCTTGATGGAGGCCACACAGCCAGTGAGTTGGAGGCCAGGATCAGAATCAAAGGCAGGATCAAGCTGTGGCGTGGTTGAGGGGACACAGGTCACCCCTGTGACTGTGGATGTGAGGTCTTGGGCCAGATCTGAAGCGCCTCCCTGCCGGGCCCCTTTTTCCCAACAGTGACCAGAGCCGTCCCACTCCCCTTCCTCCCATCACTTTCTCTTGAAAGGAGCCGGTTCTGACTCAGGCCCATTCCCGACTGGTCAAAGTGACCAGGAATGAGGTCGGAAGTAGGAAGGAAACATCCCTCAGACTCCCTAGTCCCCAAGGTCCTGGCTCTAGGGCAGGAAGGAGCCACTTTAAGGATCTCCCTGGGGACCCCTGTCCAGAAAGAGATGATCGGGTTCCTGGCAAGTGTGGCCAAGAGATCAGGCAGGCCAGGCAGGCACAGCCTCCCTCATCCCCTCATCCTCAGCCCTGCTCTGCCAACCCTCTGGCTCTTTCAGCGCCCTTCACCCAGAAAGCCACTCCTGTTCGCGCTCTCTCCTCTCTCCCTAGGCCGGGCTCTGCCTGTGTGGTCTAGTGTCTGTGTCTGTGTCTGTCTCCCCAGACTGTCCATGGCATCCTGGGACAGGTACAGAGGTACGTCACCCTCAGACAGGAGTGCTGGGGGCAAAAGGCTCTGGAACCCTTCCTTTCCCCCCCGGCGGGGGGACCCCTGAGGGCCAGGCTGGCTGGGCTGACTGGGCTCCCAGAGTGGGGAGTGAGCAATGTGAGGGAAGCCAGGGTCACTTCTGACAGGCTGAGGCCGAGTCACCCCTCAGGGCCGCACCTGCACTGCCCTCTGGAACTCCCCTCTTTTCGAGGTCTAGCATGTCCTTGATTCCAGAACAGAGCTGTGAAGCCCCATCCTTCCGCCCAGCCCGGATGATCCTTTAAGACCAAAGGATTGGGGGTTGCCTCAGTCAGACATCATGGCCCCATCCTCCGCCCTGGCAGGCCAGGTTTCCTGCCATTGACAGCATCACAGCTGGGCCCTGCCCAGCCTGCCCCAGCTTAACCCCTTCCAGCCCAGACCTCAGACCTGCTGGCCTGCAGCCCCACCTATGTCTGTAATGTTAGGAGTATGAAAGAACCATCTCACTGGATTGTTCTAAGGGTTAAATATGCTACCCATTGTGCAGAGACCTTAGGACATATTAACCTCTAGATAAAGTTAGCTGTTATTCCTCCTTGTGTGAGCTTGGGTAAGTCCAAGCCTCTTCAGGACAAAGATTGCCCTCAGGATTAATTGTGACAACTTACCTGAAAATATTTTGTAAAATGCTGGAACAATACAATATAGAACTGTCACAGACCAAAAAAAAAAAGCCAAAAAACCCCCAAAACAAACACTCTCCCTTTAACTAGATACAGTAGTCTCTTAGCAGATGGCTCGTGGGTTGTCACACTCATTACCTTGCCGACAGGCAAAGGGTGCAGTGGAAAGAGCAGATTTGGACGTGGGCTCTGGGCACTCCACCTCTGTTCATTTACTTACTCATTAAGTGGGTCTGGGCCCTGGTCTAGAGTCCATGCAGGAGGTTGAAGGAAATCTGAGAGCACAGCAGTGAACATGCTGTGCAAACATCAAAAAATGCTAGAAGGGAGGGAGAGGACTTGTGCTAAGTGACCAGCTAGAGGGGGCAGGGACCCCTGGGTAGGTGGAGCCCTTCAACTGCTGGGGAGGTAGGGGAGCTCTGCTGTGGAGTAAGGCTTCTCCTTGAGATAAAAGTCCTCTGAGAAGAGACTGTCCCAGTCCTAAGAGTGCCCGAGTGGGGTGAGAGGAGGAAGGAGGCCAAAGGATAGAGGTTTGGCCCCAGAAACCTCCTCTCATCACCCTCTTCCTAGCCAGCCCCACTCGCCATGAGGGGACCTTGCGCAGGGGCACCTCCAATGTGCTTGGTTTTGTGGGACAGGCTCACCCTCATCCTTGGGCTGCAGATGCCTGGACTGGAGAGCAGGCTTGCTGCCACCCAACAGCCAGGCCAGGCCAGGCCAGGCCTAAACCTGCCACAGAGGGAAAAAGCAAATGGGCTAGAACCCTGCTCTGTTCTCAGGCTTCCAATTCAATGTCAGAGCATCTGTCAAGGCCCAGCAGAGCCTCCCCCACCCCCAGGCCTCTGGAAGGGGCCTGGGGACCAGGAGACCTTGCTTGGAGCCCTACTCTGCTCCCAGATTCACGGTTCCTCTGTAGCAAACCATTTAGGCAGGCAGGGCCTGTTTAACCATCTGTAAAATACAGGCGCTCAACCCAGTTCCCAGGCCCCCTCCCTGAGCTGTGATCAAGAAGGAGTTAACTGAGGCCCAGCTCTGGGTCAGGAAGGGTTAATCTAGGGGGCAGGGGGTGGAGGCTCTCTCAGCTTTTCCTGTGGAGAGTGAGGTTTGGCTGCCACCAAAGTTACTTCTAGTTCCTGCTGTCCCTCCAGCCCTCAGTCTGGACCTGCCCAGGGACCCCTGCAATTCAGCCTCCCCACCCAGAGGTGAGTGCATCCTGGGCCCAGTGCTGGGGTGAGAGGACACCAGAGCCCTACTGGCCCCAAGCCACTGACCTAGAAGCCAGCCCATGTCCAGAACTCAAGGGTTGGGACCAGGACTGGGAGAGGAATAGGAAAAGGAACGGAGGGGACAGGGACTGCCACCAGGCTTCTAGGGTGTGCCTGTCTGTGGCCTAGGATCAAAGTCTGCCCAGGGACAAGGAAGAGGCAGGAGACAGTAAATTATTTTGGTCCCTGTGTTTAGGGACTTTTTATAGCCTCCCTACTCAGGGCTGGGGAAAGAAGGAGGGGGCAGAGTCCCCATGAGGTCAGACAAGCACAGTTCCCTCCTGGGACCTTGGAATCTGACCCACTGCCTAGTACAGTCCCTGGGAGAAGAGAAGGGGGACACTGCCAGGCTGGCCTTGCTGTCTGGGCTCCAGTCACCAACCGCCTAGGAGCAGACTTACCATGAACTAGATGGGGGAGGGTACTGGGGGTTGAGAAAATCCAAACAGGTTGGAGTCAGGAGTTGGCAGGGTGTCTGCCCCAAGGCCTGGGAGGGGGGACACACATAACACATCTGCCCCTCATCTCTGGCTAATCGATTCCTTTGTTGCCTCCAGATCCAAGTTTTCCTCGGACCTTAGCACTAATGTGACCCTCTTAGCTGCTGGGCAATGGAGAAGTGGGGGAACAGGGATAGGGTGGGGTGGGATGTACTGAGCCTCGTGGGTGGCCCATTCTTTTAACTGCCAAGGAAACTGTCAGCTCTTGATTTACAGCCCCTCTTTGCCCCTTTCCCCAGCACCAGGGAGGTGGAATAGAAGGAGAAGGGTCAGAGGTCTCTGGAAGAAAAGGGAGCAGGGAGCCTGAGGGCAGATTTCTGGGCTTGCAGGTTACTGGGACAATCTGTGAGAGGGACTTGGAGGCTCATCTCTCTAACAGTAATTACTTGGCCTTACAGTAGCAGGAACAGAAGGAAAATACCAAAGGGGAGTTCCTGTAGGCGAGTGAGGGATCCATTCTGAGCTAGTTCTGAAAAGACCTGGGTTCCAGTCCCAGTTCCTACTTCTCAGCAGGGCCCCAGCAAGTCCCTTTGTCTGTAGGCCAGTTTCTAGCCTATGACATGGAAAACGCAGGGACTGGACAAGGTGATGTTTACAGCTTGCTTTTCTGGAAGCTCCTTGGCTGGGGCACAGAGTAGCTGGCAGTAACTGGAAGACCAACCTGGGATCCACCTCCCGCTCCTTCCTGGATGACCCTGCTAGGCCTGGGCAGGATAGTTGCCTGCAATTACTAGAGGTTCCTACCCTGTGGTTATAGCCCTGACCTCGTACTTGGGGCAGGAAGGGTGGGCCCTGCTGGACTCGCCTGTGACTGGGGAGCTTCATAGTCTTGGGCTTAAAGCTGCTGGGTTGGGAAGAGGTATTTTTTCCGGTTAAGACTACTTTTGGGAATTGGCCTGGAACAAGCCCTACTTTCTTTTCCAAGTGTCCTGCTTGTGAACACCTCCTGGCATGGCTCTGTGGCTAGACTGCGGCACCCACAAAGGGGTATATGTTTCTTAGGAGCCAAAGAGACCCCATCCAATGCCTCTCAAGGATAGGAGAGGGCATGGCCTGAGCCTCTCCTCCCTGGACCTGGACCTGGCTGACTGGATGGGGGCTGGGTGGCTAGCTCATACTATACCTGGGAATGCCTGCTAGCCAGAGGCAGGGGCATCTTCGGACCATTCCTCTCTCTTTGCAGGTCTCAGGGAGTCTCAGCAAACTCCCTAACTGTGCACCTCCAGCGGCTTATGGGGCACTGTTTTGCTGTGCTCTGCTAAGATGCTCCTGGCCTCTCCCTCCAGCTCATCCAGGGGACGGACCCCCAGCGCAGTGGAGAGGCTGGAGGCCGACAAGGCCAAGTATGTCAAGACGCACCAGGTGATAGTGCGGCGCCAGGAACCTGCTCTGCGCGGGACCCCGGGGCCGCTCACCCCGCACGTGTGTAATGAGCTGGGTCCCCCTGCATCGCCCAGGACACCCGGACCCTCCCGCCGGGGCAGCGGCAGACGGCAACCAAGGCCAGACTCCCTCATCTTCTACCGCCAGAAGCGGGACTGCAAGGCTTCGGTGAACAAAGAGAACGCCAAGGGCCAGGGGCTGGTGCGCCGCCTCTTCCTAGGCGCCGCCCGGGACGCTGCCCCGAGCAGCCCCGGCCCGACCGAGCGACCTGCAGCTCCTGGGGTTTGCTTCCCGGAGGCGGCCGGGAAGCAGCCTCTGTGCCCCACGTGCTCCCTGCCCCTGTCGGAGAAGGAGCGCTTCTTCAACTACTGCGGCCTGGAGCGCGCGCTGGTGGAGGTGCTGGGCGCCGAGCGCTTTTCTCCGCAGAGCTGGGGCGCCGACGCCACCCCCAAGACCGGAACTTCGCCGCCGCCTGGCTCCGGGGACACCAGCGACTGGACATCCAGCGAGGGGGGCGGGGACGGCCCAGACTGTGCGGCCGGCGGCGGCGGCTCGGAGGCCGCTGGCTCGGCGCGGGACGGGCGGCCCTCGGTGTCGGTGGTGGAGCGCAACGCGCGCGTCATCCAGTGGCTGTACGGCTGCCAGCGGGCCCAGGGCCCGCCGCGCGAGTCCGAGGTGTGACCGCCCCTCGCTCGGGAGGCGGCCCCGGGTCGGGCCGCTGAGAGCGCGGGCTGGACCACTCTCACGGCTCAGGGGCGAGCCCTTCCTTCCTCAGGATCTCCGTTTTCCTATCCGAACCTCGGGAAGGTGGGACAAAATGAGCCCGAGGTCCCTCTCAGCGCTGGCGGCGGAGAGGGACGCAGTGGCCTCGTGACCCCTAAGGAGACCGGGTCTGGGGAACGCTGGTGACAGTGAGAGATGCGCAAACCTACTGAATAAAGCTAAATCGTTATTTAAATGGGTCGTGAGTTTGGATTAGGGGGCAGATGTTGAGGAAGGGGGCGAACAGGTTTGCTCAGTTAAGCGTGTGGCTTCGGAGTGTGGGTTTCAGGCTGACTGTGTGACCCTGGACAAGTACTCAACCTCTCTGGACCAAACCTGCACGCCCCGGTTATTAAAGAGGGGACAGGGTAGTAGATAATTACAATGTTTTGAAATAATTGTAACGCACGTGGCAATATGCCTGGAATACAGAGTGCTCAATAAAGAATGGCTGCTTTGACTACCACGGAATTAGTACTAACTACTGTGATCTTTTCTGACACTGACCATCAGGTCGATCCAAACTGGAGCCGAAAACTGGAAATAGAGCATGCGGGGGGCACCTGGGGAAGGGTCTCCCCCAGAGATCTGGGCTCCACCGACCCCTAAATGGCTCCTACTCCCGGAGCTTTGCTGCCCCCTTGTGGTCGGTAGTAGGAAGGACTGAGACGTGGAGGATCTGAAATTGAGGTCGCTAAAAAGAGCCCGGGATTTTTCCAGCAGGAAACCTCACATCTTGCTAGTTTCCTTTTCCTTCAAGGATACATAAAATCGCCCGTTTTCCTCACAAGTCCGCTCCTGTCCTCTTTCGGCCTAGGTTCCCTTCCCCTTTCTCTCCACTCACCCTTCTAAGATCATATACTCTTCGGGAAGCCTTCCCGAAATCCCAGCCCACCTCACCTCCTGACTTACCATGAGCAGCCCTATTTCTGTGTCTCATTTTGTCACCTTCTGTGGCATCCGCTAATGCCGAGTTCTCTCGTTTGGCTGTGACCTGTCCATAATACAGGAACCATGCAGATGGTAGGGCCACCTGAAACGTTTGTTCAACTAAACAAGGCGGGACAAGACGTTGAAGGCTGTCCCGTAGGTTCCCCTTGCTTTCTAGAAAGCTATTCCGTAAACCCAACAGCATCCATCCTGATACCCGTGCTGTCTCTGGCCATTGTCCCTCTCTGCTCGTTTGTTGGGGAATAAGGTGGAAACCCTCCAGATAGGTCGCGCTGGGGAGCCCACCCCAAAGTTGCTTTTGCCGTTGTCAGGATAATACCACGAGGTCACAGGAGGTATTGGGCTAGGGGTGCTTTTTATAAGGGGTGGGGAAGGGCAGGGGCCCAGTTCAGCGGGCCGGCTAGTCGCCCTTGGGCGCGGCCTTCACCCTCATCTCGGCCAGTTTGTGGGTGAGGAAGCCCCACTTGAAGCCGGCCGCGGAGTCCACTTCCCCAGGCTCCCGGTGCTCGACGGCCTCCTCGGCGGCCTCATCCCGGGGTTCGGGGTCTGGTTCCCTGCTGGGCTCGGCGCCGCGCAGCATGGACGCCGCCGCCGCTTGCTGCTGCTGCCATCTGCTGGCGAATGCGTCCCAGAAGCCCGGGCCACGCGGTTCCGCCTCCGCGGCAGCCTGCGAGGGGGGCCTCGCCGCCAGCGGGCTGAGGGAGAGAGGCGGGGTCAGCGGCCTGGGGAGTCCCGGAAAGGGACAAAGGACAGGAGGCGGGGACAGGGGACTAGCCCTGGGGCCGGGAGAGTCAGGGAGAGGTCAGAGCCTGGAGGCTAAGGGAGGGTTCAGAGGCTCTGGGAAAGAGGGGAGGGGTGGGACGGGGTCAAATGGTGACCAGCCTGGGGTGAGGGGACCCGGATCCTGGGGGAGAGAAGAAGGTCAGGGGTTTACAGAAGGGATCTCCAGAGAGACTGGCGAGGCCAATGGAGGGGGCGGAGCCCTGAGAGGGGCGGGGCCGAAGATTCGGGCGGGAAGGAGTGGGACCCTGGGACCAGTTGGGTGGACTCCTTTGGATCCTTCTGGAAGGAAGAGGTGAGGCTGGGAAGGGGTCGAGCCCCTGGATAGAGGGAAGGATGGACTAGGGACATGGGAGAAAAACCACTGGAGCGACTCTAAAGAAAGAGAAAATCCTAGACCAGAAGCTGGAGAAAGCGGGACTTGGGGTGGTAGGTGGGAGATGGAAAGGAAAGGCAGTCAAGGAGGGGTAGGAGGCTTGACGCACGAGCCTCAGGTCTGGGGAGCCTTCTTAGGAGGGAAGGGCCAGGGATATAGCTCAGTGGTGCTGCGCCTGCCCATGGTAAGCTCAAGATCCTGAGTTCGACTCCCAGTACCAAAGGGGTGAGGGAGAACTGGGAGGGAAAAGAGAGGAATATGGAGATGGAGAAAAATCTGAGGTCAGGAGAGACGAATGGGTGGGGGTGGGGGACCTTTGGCAGAAAGGAATGGTGAGGGGGTTATGACTGGGCTGGAAGAAAGGGTAGAGATGAAGTGTGTACCTAAGGTAAATCCAGGGTGTGGACTGAGGCCCACCCCATAACCCTCAGCATTAAAGATCTAAGGATCACCTGGAGTTCAAGACCAGCCTGGACTATTTTTTTTTTTTAACATTCTTTTTTTTTTTTTTGGTACCGGGGATAGAACTCTGGTCCTTGCACTTGCGAAGCAGGTGGCGAAACCATTGAGCTAAATCCCCAGCCCTGGACTACATTTATTTATTTATTTATTTGTTTGTTTGTTTGTTTGTTTGTTTATTTTTTGTACCAGGGATCGAACTTGGGTCCTTGCGAGGACTATTTTTAAGGACAGCTTGAACTACATAGTGAGACCATGGCTCAAAAAAACAAATAAATAAATAAATTTAAATAAAACAGTGGGTCTTCTGGGATCCCCAAGCCTCTGTCTACACTAGTGAATTCCAATCTCTGAAGGAGGGTCCAGGAATTTTCAAATACTTGAAGGCCCTCCTCTGTGTCTGGAGTCTGGGAACATGGTCCTCCCCAGTGGTGGGCGGGATAGCCCATAAACACCTTCCAGCACCTAAATCCCAACAGCTGGTAAATTCCTTGGGAGATCTAACTTAATTTCCCAGATACCAATGTGGCTTTAGCCCCACTGAGAGAAATGGATGGGCTGGCCCTCCCCAAACCTCCATGGTTAGAAAGACAGACCAATAGACCTGAAAGAACAGGCATGACCAAAGAGGGACCCCAGGCACCATCCACAACCACCCCCTAAATAGACACACATACTGGTCAGCACAGGGCTCCGGTGGCAGCAGCTTGTCCTCATCTTCTTTGTTAAACAGAGATGACATGGTCAGCCAGCCTTTCACCCCAACCCCCTGGACCTGGGAGGGATGGGCTGGGAGTCAGGGAAGGGCCCCAGCCCAGCCTGCTGGGGCTTCGCACCAGCTTTTGCTGGTTTTCCCAGGCTTGGGGTGGGAAAAGGGAAAGGAACTCACCCTGCGGGCCAGCTGTGACATGGGACTGAAGGCCTCTTCAGTCGGTTCTGCCGTCTCAGATGCCACTAACTCTGGGTTCTCCCTCTGGGACACAAAACCCCCATCCCAAATGAGAGAAGCCCCAGAGAAGTGAGACCTCCCTCCCCTACTGCTAACTGGATACAAACAGACCAGGCACCCCAAGTCCCATAGAATAAGCACACACCCGTACATCTCACATTTCCACAAGGCACATGGAAATGCACACAGATGTGCCTCTACACAAAGGTGTACATCACATACCCAGAGGTGTGGAGGAAATCCCTGCACACCCCTAGGGCACCCAAACCTGCCTACCCACAGACACATCCAAAAACATGGACAAGGGCTGCACACTGATACAGACACACACTTGTACATGAGCACCCTCCACAAGGCCACAGCTCTTCACCTGTGCATAGATGTATGTGCAGTGAACCCCTATACAAGGACACACATGCAGTTACCCCATTCACACCTATGCACTTACACAACTGCACATAGCTTCACAGAGGCTCATCCATGGCACACAAAACCTCTCAACCCATTTACAGACACACAAACACACACGCTATACAATGATGCCTGCAAATGCCAGCCCAGAGCATACAGGCACAGATTCCTGCAGAAATATGTACACACCTGAAAATGCCTAGATTCAGCTCACACCTGCACATTTACCTTCTCTGAGGATTCCACACAGATGCCAACCCCAGCACTCACCCACAAACACTTCTGCACCACCCCGGCTTTGAACACCAACCTGTTTAGACACACAATTCATATACACCCACATGGAGTAGTTCTTGTCCCTGCCACATCTAATTGCACGAATGCCATTTATCACAGCCTCTAGACATAAGACAATTCCTAGTTTCAGAGCCTTTTTGATTTCTTTTTTTGGATGGGGTCTCACTATATTATCCAGACTGCTCTTGAAATCTCTGGGCTTAAGCAACCCTTCTGCCTCAATCTCCCAAGTAGCTGGGACCACAGGGACATGCCACTACTCCTGGTTTGTTTCATTTTGTTTTTAATTGTTTAAAAGTAAAGTGAAGCATGGTCTAAGCATAGCCTCACACGAGGCTGAGGCTGCTAAAATGACTCTCAGTGTACAAAGTGCCCCTTCTCTACCCCCAGAAACAGGGAGCTCACTACCTCTCAAGGCAGGCCATCCCAGTTGGCTCAGCTCTGCCATTAGAAAGGTGGTGCTCAGTGCTCAGTGTGGTGGTACACCCCTGTAATCCCAGCACTCGGGAGGCTGAGGCAGGAGGATTTCTGTGAGTTAAGAGTCCAGCCTAAGCTACATAGTGAGACCTTGTCTCAAAAAAAAAGAAAGAAAATTGGGTCTAGCTAAGTGTACCCTATGCCTACTGCCCACTGGTCCTAAAAGAATCTGTTCTGGGCCAGGGATTTAGCTCAGTGGTTCTGGCACCTGCGTCGAAAGTGCAAGGTCCTGATTTCGATCCCTGGTACCAAAAAAAAAAAAAAAATGAATCCGTTCCATGCAGCAGTCTTTGAGGTCCACAAAGACACTGGTCACTTCTCTTAGGGCCTCTCAGTGGTCACTCTTTTCCTCAGTTTTCTCAAATGTCCTGGCTCTCAGATACTACATCCTGCTATTTGCACTCCTTGAGTGTGCCCAGAGCTTCTCCACAATGTGCCTCTTCCTCTCTCAGAGCTATCCCTGGCCACCCCTCTTTGTATCTCTCTCCTGCTCTCCCTCTGCCCATGCCCACCTGGCAGGCATGGAGGTTACCCACCTCCTCTGCCAAGTCTTCCTCGGATTCCCCACTCAGGGTCTGTAGCACTTTGGACTTGTAGGTTTTCCAGAAGGCCTGGCTCATGGTTGCAGGAGAGGGAGGCCTGGTACTCAGGCACGGAAGTCAGTGGCTCCAATAGATCTGGCTTCAGGAACTTGGTGGAACCAAAAGCTTGTCCAAGGTATCAGGTGAGTTCATTAAAGATGCACCAACTTTCCCAGCTAGCACAGTGCCTAGTTGGTGAACCTGATCCAAAAGAGCCTGAGGTGGGGGCAGGCTTCTGCTGCCTTCAACCCTTGTCTTGACCCATATTGGCCAAGAATAACGAAGACATCTCTCTGAAGAGGCTACTTTCCTGGGCCTAGGAATACTTGAGTTTGTTAACACTTAGAATGACTCTAGAGAAATCTTGCATTCACTAAGTCCTTGCGTTAGGACCCAAACTGGTGCCTCTGTGACTGTAGCCACTGCACCCATGTCCCACCCTTTGTCCCCACTCAGAATCCACGAACTGGAGTGGGAAAGTCCCCAGTCCCTGGTCAGCACCCTGGGTTTACATTTCACTGCTTTGTCTGCCCTAGAAACTTAGTCCTCTCCCCAGGGATGCATGTGCCTGTCTCCCTGTTTCCTGGCAACAGGTTCCAAAGAGCTGGGGCCTTTGAATTATTGCTGAGCTTTTCTGGCCCGGTCCAGTGGAACTGACTCTGGCCCTCTCTACACTGTTGCTGCCAGCCCTCCTCTAGGAGACCAGGCTCAGAGAAAGGAAGCAAAAATGAGGCTGTGCTTCTAGGGTACTTCTGTCTTGTCTTTGAGACAGGGTCCCACAGTGACGTTCAGGCTGGCTTTCAACTTGCTGAGATGGCCCTGCCTCGGCCTCCTGAGTACTGGGATTACAGGTGTGCGCCAAAACTCCCGGCTTTAGAGCATTGCTTCTTACTAAAGAAGTTGAGCCCTTCTGCCTGACAGAATGCTGAGATCTCTGGGAAGGAAACTCCCTCCCCATGGATTTAGGGGAGAGATGGAAGAAAGAGACCCAAGAGAATGAATAACGGAAGCCATGAGAAATGGTAAAAGCTTTGTCAGGGGCTGGAGGTATCTCGCAAAGCTCTGCTGGGGCCAGGATCACAAACTTACTCTAATCATTTATTAATTTATTCAAGTCACAGACATTATTTGTGCTTACACCATCTCATCCCCACCACAGAGTCTTAAGGTGTGGAAACCAGGAAGGAGTAACAGGGCCACCCTGGGGCGGGCACAACCAGCCCCAAGCTTAGGCACACCCTACAACCGGTCCCGCTTTGGCAACGTAGGGCTTCGCGCCAACTGTGAGCAAACTTCGTCCAGCTGCGCCCGTAACCCCGTCACTAACGTCCATGGCCGCCTGGGGGCGCGCAAGCGGCGGGCAGTTCTGGTGACGTCATCAGAGGCGGTCTGGTCGATTCTGCTCCGCCCTCTGAGCGCCTCGTGACGTCGTTGAGCGGTCCGGAAGGACTAAACACGTGTGTCCTCTCTCAGCTCCCAGCCCTTTGGCCTTGCTGTCACTCTCGTGGCTATGGGTCGCTCCCGCCGTACAGGCGCGCACCGAGCGCACTCCTTAGCCCGCCAAATGAAGGCCAAGCGGCGACGGCCAGACCTGGATGAGATTCACAGGGAGCTGCGGCCTCAGGGTCCCACACGGCCCAGGCCCGACCAGGACACCGTGCCCGACCCTGACTTGCCAGGAGGTGGCCTGCATCGCTGTCTGGCCTGCACGTGAGTCCCGGCCGAGCCCAGCCCCGGGCAGAGGAGAGTCTGCACAGCGGAAGCTGTGAGGTCTCCACTCTTGGGACCCAGGGGTCAGCCCGCCTCCCATCCCTTCAGGCTGGGAGGCTGGGGAACGAGCTAGGATCAGGGAGCTAGGTGTACCTGAGAGGCATCACGTCTTCTCTTCTCACACCTCCATCCCTGCAGGAGGTACTTCATCGATTCTGCCAATCTGAAAACTCACTTCCGATCCAAAGACCACAAGAAAAGGTATGGAGTAAGGAGAGGATTGATGGATGGGTGCTGGGCAGTCAGGGCTTGCACTTGGTCAGCTCTCAACTCCTGTTCTTTCTCCCAGGCTGAAGCAGCTGACCGTCGAGCCCTACAGTCAGGAAGAGGCCGAGAGGGCAGCGGGCATGGGCTCCTATGTGCCCCCCCAGCGTCTGGCATTGCCCACGGAAGTATCTACTGAGGTTCCTGAGATGGGCACCTCTACCTGACATGACCCAAGTATGCAGGGCAGAGGAGCTGCCCATGGACAGTGGTGCAAGGGCTAGGCTGGGAGAGAGGGTACCAAACCATTTGGAGCCCTGGGTTTACTGAGTAGATGGCCTCTCCTGGGTGCCCTCCGCCCAATAAAGGAACTGGAAAAGAGGGCTTACCTCTGACTTTAACTTCCAGACCTCTGCCACAAAATCCTGCTGCTTTCAGTGTACAGGGTCCAGGATATCTACTCCCTACTTGACCCACCTTTGGAACCTGCATTCTTGCCTTCTTTCCTGGGTCTTAGCACCTGAGCTGGAGCCCAGGTGCAGTGTGAAGTGGAGAAGTAGGATTGGGTTTATTCTGCCCTGCCTCAAATAAGGGCAGGGACTGATCTCCGGGAAAAAAGTGGAGTTCTGAGATTGCAGTCCCCTCTCCTGAGTCACCTACCTCCAGAGCCCACAGGAGAGCCTGTGCTTCGTCATGGGGCCTGTGATGGTGGCTGCTGCCCCACCATCTTCCACACAGCATAGCAGGAGCTGCCCAGTCCCAGGACAGCCAGGAGTGTAGCCACAACCCCGGCCAGTGGACTCTGGGCCTCTTCCTTCAGCTTCCCAGCTACCTGTATCTAGTGGGGGTGCACCGAGGACGAATCTGAGAGGCTAGTTGAGACTTTTAGGGAGGCAGGTGCTAAGAAGGTGCAGCTGGGTAAAGGAGACAGGGACGCCATTGCTTCCCCAGGGAGATTCCACCCCAATCCCTCTCGCTTCACTGCCCATCTGGGCCCTGGCTAGTCAGGCGGCAGTAAATGTGACAGCCTGGCTGTTGAGGGTATCAGTCCAGCCATGGTAGAGGCAGGAACAGGTCAGTGATGCTAGAAGCTATCCCAGTTAGGAGTACTTACCTGTAGTACCCGGAAGTAGCCAGGAGTCAGGTGTCTAAATTGCATGGTTGGGGCACTAGTGTCACAGACGGCCTGTGGGATAGAAGCAGATACAAAGACCAGTGGTGTTCCTGGTACCAAGAAATGGAGGATACAGGGGTCCCTGGCCTCTTGTATGCATGACAGTCATGTCCTCAGAGGATGCTCACCCTTGCAGGCCTGCCCAGGTCTGGCAAGGGGCGGGGCACTGAATCTTCAAATCTAGTCTGCGTGTGTGGTGTCTGTGCCCCCCCCCCCAGCTGCCTGCCGGCTGACCTGCCAGCCTTAGGAGCAGCTGTCAGGAGAGATCAGCATCAGGTCCCAGCAGCACCTCCCCGTCTACCAGGGAGACCAGGCCTGGTAGGCAGAAGAGGCCTTGGCTGGCAGCCCTCATGAGTCCCAGGCATGGACTAGGTACTGGGTGGACCTCCCTCAACCCTGGTCCAGACCCTATCCTAGCTCAGATGATTGGATGCCACCAATCAGCATTCAGCAGAGGAGGGACAGGATACTTCAGTAGCCTCTCTCAACAGTAGTATACTTTTTCCACTTGGTTTCTATAAGATTGGCCACTTGTACTTTTTTTGAGATAGGATCTCAATATGCACTTCAGACTGGCCTTGAATTCACTATGTAGCCCAGGGCCAGGTGTGGCGGCACAGTCCCAGCACTTGAGAGACTGAGACAGGATCTCCAGGAGTTCAAGGCCAGCCTGAACTACATAATGAGACCCTGTCACAAGAAAAACACTATGTAGCCCAGGCTGGCCTTGGCGATCCTCCTGCCTCAGCCTCTTGAGTGCTGGGATTACAGCCATGTACCACAGTGCCCGGCTCTCAATCACTTCTACTTTGAGGGAGGACACATTTCACCTCTTTTCTGAAAATGGGGTTCCTGCAAGGGCTTTCTTATCCTCAGTTTGGGGACAATAATAAAAGGGTATCTAAATACCAATTAAGCTGCCCTTAATTTTTTTTTTTTTGTACCGGGGATCGAACTCCAGACCCTGTGCTTTCAAGGCAGGCAGCAGCACTGAACTAAATCCCTGGCCCCCTTTATATGTTTAAAAAAATCAAACTGTGCTGATCATCATTCTGAATATATTTCATGAGATTATCATAAGATGAAAAAAAGGTACAATTTTCAGAATAATATCTGCATCTATGGAGAATGGAAGAATACACAGAAAACTTAGTAGTGGCCCCCACTAGGGGACAAGATAAAAACGTGCTGGGAAAGTAACACATCTTCCTTTCACTTCATAACCTATTGTGGCCTTTGAATTTTTTTTTTTGGTACTGGAGATCGAACTCAGGACCTTGCGCTTGCGAGGCAGCCACCAGAACCACTGAGCTAAATCCCTGGCCATAGCCTTTGAAATTTTTGCAGCAAATACACAGAACTTTTATGTTCATACAACCTTTTTTGCCCTCAACTGTCTGGCCCTCTGAGGTGCTAGGGCACAGAGTAAAGGTACTGTTGTGGTTGCTGGGCCTCCAGGCCTTCCGGGGGAGTGAGTGGTGGGGAGTTCTTGTTCCTCCTCCATAGGCTTGTGAGGCAGGGAGGGCTGGATTCTCCTGTCTGCATCTGTGCCATTTGATGACATCAGGATGGTGGAGACAAACCTGTGCCCATCAAACACTCTGGTAAAGGCTCTGTTAGAGCTGACGGGGCCTTCCCAGAGTGTCCCGGCAAGGCTATTATAGGAGGAGGCAAAAATGTTAAAGGAGGATGCTGCAGGGTTGTTGGAAGGACACAGGACAGAGTAGAAAGAAACTAGACAAAGGACAAAGCCAGAGACATGAGGGGTGTGTTGAAGATTTGAAGTCTACTAATTCACAAGTGAAGAGGCAAGGTCTGCGGGGCCTGGAGATCTGTAGTCTCCTCTTGAAGGAAGCAGCCTCCAATCCCCTCTTGTTGTTTGATGCCAAGCATGAGGGTGGGATGGGGCCATCAGAGACAGCTGAAGTTCCAGAGAAGCTGGAGTTCTCTTTTTAAAAATTTTATTTATTTAGAGACAAGGTCTTGCTATACAGTTCAGGCTGGCCAGTCTGGCCTCACACTCATGATCCTCCTGCCTCTGCCTCCCATGTGCTAGGGTTACGGGTGTGCACAACCAGTCCCGACCTTGGAGATCTCAATTTGTATATGAAATTATTAAATGATGACAACTAACAAACATACTATATGAGCTGTTTGTGAGTCCATTCAAATTCAGACTGTGAGTCTCAGTTATAGGTAAGATAGTGAGTGGCTTTGAAGGTTAGGTGTTGGGACACAAAGATTCTCAAGTAGGTGACACAGAGGGCCAGGTTCTGGGAAGCCCTCCCACGTCTCTCCCCACAGATTTAAAGCAATAATAACTCAGGTCTACCCCATGTCCCAGATTCAGAATACTTAGAAGTCCTCAAGCTCTATGGTCTAGATAGCACCTTTTGAAAGAAGCTAGGTTCTCAGGTGTAAAAGTTGGGTTCAGTCACAGTGCAACTGACTGTAGAACTCCATCTGATTCCAAAGACCTGGGGTCCACTGGCCTGAGATGATGATGATGAATACTTCATAGGTGCCAGACATTTCTCTAAAATGAAGGCTTTTAACCTGGGATTCAAAATTCAAGGGATGAGTAAACTTAAATGAGGAAAGTCTACGTTAGTTACTTTTCTTTTTGCTGTGACAAAATACCTGGCACCCAGAGTTAAAGGAGGGAAGGTTTATTTGGCTTACAGTTCATAGAGGTTTCAGTTCATAATTGGCTGGCTCTAAGACAAGACTGGAAGAGGAGGAACAGTTAATGGCAGCGATGGAAGATAGCAAAGGCAACAGGGGACCTTAACAGTGTCTTTCTGCTCCTTTTATCTTATTCAGATCACTGGGATTAGGGCGGTGCCAAACCAATCACTCACATGTAGTGGTTTATTAATCACACACCCTTAATCCTAGCATCACACTCTAGTTTCACCCACTTCCAAAAAAGACTGCATGAGGCTTTGGGGGGACATTTAGACACAAGCCACAAGTCATCTTTCTTTTCACTAACTCCTAACTAAAATTTACCATTTCCTTCTATGTGGGTTGAAATAGTAGCATTATCTTTGGCTTTGTTGCCAATAGAAATCACAGATATTGCCAGGTAGGGTGGCACATGGCTCTAATCCCAGCCACTCAGGAAGCTGAGGCAGGATTTCAAGCTCAATCCCACCGTGGGAAATTTAGCAAGCCTTTGATTTTGTAAAAAGAGGAGGGCTGGGATATAGCTTGTAGCTTGTTACCCCCGTGAGTTCAATTCCTAGTACTACACACATACAAACAGCAGTTATAGATATTTCATATCAAATGTAGTTATTGCAAGTATTGAAATATTTATGTTCATAACTTTCAAAATTGTGGCAGCTATGAAGCCACTGCTGAACCAACCCTAATGGCACTGCATTTCAGACCCTCCTGTGATGCAGGACCTCTGCCTGGAGGCTCAGTGACCAAATGATGACTCTGTCTGTTCAAACTCTGGCTGACCCAGGTCTCTGCATTCCCTATTAGTTGTTTGTGAGAGAAGGTGAGTCAGAGACTACCATATGAGCTTAATGTTATTCAAGCTGAGCAACAGTGTCCTAATATCATTATTAACACTAAACCCATCACTAAATCACAAATATGCCTTCTGTTTTGTTTTGTTGTTTGTTCTGGTTTTGTTCTGTTGTTGTCATTTTTGGTACCAGGGATTGAACTTGGGACCTTGTGCTTGCAAGGCAGGCGGCAGCGCCACTGAACTAAACCCCCGGGCCTGTTCTGGTTTTTTGACACAGGGTCTTGCTATGTAGTCCAAGGTGGTCTCAAACTTTTTTTTTTTTCTGATAAGTAGGGATGAACTCAGGCCCTTCATTCTGAGCACCATCCTCAGACATCTTTTATTTGTCACTTTGAGATAGGGTCTTGCTAAGTCACTAAGTTGCCCAGACTGGGCTTGAATTTGCAGTCGTCCTGCCTCAGCCTCCCAAGTTCTGGGATTACAGGTGTAGGCTACCACCACATCCAGCTTTTACATGTTTTGATAATAATTGTTCTTGTAATCCTAAGTATTCTGTTTTATACTTTCTTTTTTTGTTATTTGTTGTTGTTGGTTTTGGTTCTGGGGCTTGAACTCGGGACCTTGCACTTTCGAGGCAGGCAGCAGAACCACTGAGCTAAATCCTCGGGCCTGTTGTTTTTTGAGACAGGATCTCACTGTGTAGTTCAGGCTGATTTTGAACTCATAGTGATCCTTCTGCCTCAGCCTTCCAAGTTCTGGAATTATGGGCATACACCACCACCACATCTGGCTTTTTATGCTCTTAATAAGGCCATCATGGTAAATTGTTGAAAGGCACATTATGGGAGGATGTATAATGCCCATATTTATTTTTTAAGATTACTTCTGTTGATGAATTACTAATTTTAATTCTATGAGTTTTATTAAACAATGTTGTACTTAACAGGAAAATAAAATAATAAAATAAAATTTCTAATATTTAATGAGTGTTTAGTATAAACATCAACATTTTTGGGCTAGGTATTTAGCTCAGTGGCACTGCGCCTACCTCGCAAGGCCAAGGGCTTGAGTTCAATCCCCAGTACCGGAAAGAAAAAGTTTTTTCAACATGAACTGTTTACTTGCTTAACAAGATCTAAAAATAACAGCAGAAATAAATTCCTATGTGAACTACAATGAAAATACATATAAAACTCTCCCACAGAAATAATCTTTGCTTAAGTTATCACACCTAAGACCGTCCTCACACATGACCAAACTCAGGGCCTCGTGATTGCCAAGCAGGTGCTGTGCCGCTGAGCCACATCCCTGGCCTTTGTCACTTCTCTCATCTTCTTCTTTTGTCAGGAGCTTCCTATTATACAATGTCCACTTAGCAGGAAAATAAAATATCAAATATATAATGAGTGTTTAGAA